CTTGAGACAGTCTAACACAATTTAAAATATCTTGGAAATATTGTTATTAACTTAACAATATAGTCATTGTCATTATTATTTAGTAATACATTAGAATTACAAATTATTAACATTGCCGTTTACATAATATTATACATAATACTTGTAATTTATAAATAGTTGCTTGCATACATGTACTTAATAATTATTTAACTAAAGCTTACAATATATTTAATACTTAACCAACCATTGTATCATCATATATACTTACGCAATCAATATGTAAACAATATTATTCTTTGTATAAGCTTATTATTGTAATTTATTTAAAAATGTATAATACACTTAATAATAATTATTATCTAGATATCTTAGCATTTTAGTGATTTTAATCAATACTATAAATTAACATAAGCTATCATCGTATTACATTGTTATTATTTCCTTACTGTGTTACCTACCAATTTATCTACAATTTAATTAAATATATCGCATTTACATTGTGACTTTTTGACCTTTTTAGTTGTTTAGAAAGTTACATGAAAAACCACACACTATATAGTACTTCTGGACAATGATTATTTGTATTTTTTATTTGATTATACAGTAGTCTATACAAAGTAAGTACGATATTAATTTATTTTCGTAACATAAATAGTACAAATATCAAAACTTAAGTTTGTCTTAAATCAGTACAGTTAAATGAATAGTTTAAAAAGGATAGATTTTAGGTAAAAATATGTCAGTTAATTATAATTTTAATTAATTAATTCTTCGTTGATGTTAATTGTCCAAGTCCAGTCTATCTAGCTATAGTACTGCCTCGTCCGTTGCTGCATGTAGATCTTCGAGAGTTCCAGTGAACCTTCTCTTTCCGCACTTGTTAACTATGTGATGCATTGTCTGGGCCTCCGCTCCGCAGTTACATCACATGGATCCTCTTTTAAGCGCCACTTGTGCATCAGTTGATTACATCGGCCCTGGCCTGTTCGTATTCGGTTTAGTCTAATTCATAATCTACGAGAAAGAGACGAACCTGGTTGTTCTGAATGGACATTTTTGACTAAATTCCCGTTACTTTCCCCTTTTTAATGTCATCAATTTCAGGACCAAGTTCCGCCGTGCTGAAACGGGTATCAAAACTGGGGTGAGGGTTACTGTTGACTAAAGTTTTCTTTAGCTCCTTCTTGACTGATTTGATTTGTTCTCTTTCGATTGTACCTTTTGAGTTTGCCACTAGTGCTGCAGCTATTGACTGAGCTTTAACTGACATTTGAGTGTTTTTATTTGAAATATTTTTTCCCAGACTTTTGAGCAGAAGCCATGCATTGTAGCTACTCCTCTTCATGTCAAACTTTTGAAAACTAGTGATTAGATGGAAGATTTTATTTTGGATTATTTAAATTTTGTTTAGATTTGATTTTTTAGTGGATCCCCAAATCTGTATACTATATTTCCAGATTGGCTTTAGAAGAAATTTATAGAAATGTTTGTGTGGAGTGTAAGTTCAACTTTGAATGGAGAATTTGGCTAAGTAAACGTAGACGAGTTGCTTACTTTGTTTTTCGTACAGTATATGTGGTGTGACCAGTTCGACTTTTTATCGAAATGCACTACAAAGTATTTTTTTTTGTATTTAAAGCGTGTATAATAATCTTATTCAATATTATCGATTGGCAGATTCCGTGTTTGAGTGTAAAGGTGATATACCATAATTTGATTTCATTAATTTTAACTTTCCAGTCTTTATACCATGATTCAAGTTCAGAAAGTAGGATTGAAGATTTTCAGAAGTCGTGAGAGACTTTTCGTGGATAGAAAGAATAGCTTCGTCGTCAGCATATTCAGCTACTATGATGTTTGGTGGATCGATTAGTCAACTATAAAAATGTTAAAGAAACATGGGGCAGTTATCTCTTCTTTTGAGACTAGCGTTTATTTTGGATATGGTTGATAAACTTATGCGGTATTGGACAGCAAATTTTTGTTCAACAAGGTAAGGTTGAAAAATTAAAAACCATTTAGATGGTAATTTTTTTTATTTTAAAGGAGAGGCCTGCGTGCCACAATCGGTCAAAGGCTTGCGCGATATCGAGAAAGACTGCGGTACAATATTGCTTTTTTCAAGCAAAGATGAAATTGTATTCACTTACAATTAATTTTATAAGTAGTGAAGTAGAAATTACGGAATCCAAATTGTGTACTTGTATAATTTCTAAGTTGGATATTATTGGGGTTATTCTTTTGAGGATTAATTTCTCCAGAACTTTCGAAAAAAAGGAAGAAGACTTATAGGTCTGTAAGATTTTGATGAATCTAATGGTTTCCCTACCTTAAAAATTACTACTATGATGGAGAATTTTCAATGAAGCCGGAAGTATGAAAGATGGACAAAGGCATTAAGTATTATGTATGTAAGAAAGATTAAAGATTATCTCAGTAGATGTTTTACGACCTCATATGTTATGAATCGAAGTCAGTAGCTTTTTTGGGCAAGGCTGATAAACAGTGTTCTACTTCAGCAGGTGAAAAAGTTTATGGAAATAGGGATATTTGCAGCGGTAATAGCAAGTAGTTTGTAACGTCATTTCATATAGATTGTTTATGTTGGTGTGTGGTTTGAGAGCTTCAATTAAATGATTTTGGAAGAGTTCGACTTTTTCTATATCAACAGTAGCCTATGAGCCATCAGGATTTTTAATAGTAGGAAAAGAGGGTTTATTTCTAAGCACTCTTTTTGTGGTTTTCCAGATTGAACCGTCTTGGATAGAGAAAGATGCTATGCCTTTATAATATGAGTATTGAGTATAGGTTCTAAGTTTAGCTAGTAACCTTTTCAAGTGCACAGTTAACATATTAAGACGTGTTTTATCTGATGGGTATCTAATGGATTGACATACCGATCTAGTTTTTTTTTCTGTTGTTAGGTTATATATATATATAAGTGGATAAGTTGAGATGAAAGAGTTTTTGCTGGTTTATAATTGGAGAAGTGGAATTCCATGCAGCAGATTGAATAGACGTTGTCTGGAGATTTAAATTTTACATCGAGTTTAGTATTTTTTAGGAGCAGGTCGTTGACCTTAATTCAGTCTGTGGTTTTATTTACTAAATAAGTGTTGTTGGAACTGATCGAGAACAAGGAGTTGATGGTGAGTAATACGGCTCAGAGTGTAATTTATTAAAATTTTCACGTGGGGCAAAAGGTGATTTGAAGCTTTTAAAATTAAAAAATCAAGTATATCTGGATGTTTGTTTGGAGATGTGGGCCAGTAAGTTGGGTATAGAGAAGAATGAACTTGGTATTGTTTGAGAGAGATGAACTGTAAGAGATTATATTACCACAGTGAGTCACAAAAGAATTGTGAGACTGCAAGAGTCAGCATAAAATAACAACCTAATGATATAATATACAGTAGAAAATCGATAAACCAACTATTTCAATCATCTTTCATCGCGTAATCAATGCGGCAAAGGTGGCTACGATTATATAATATAATAGATACGTTATCAAGTGTATAACATTTTTTTTAAATACCGTACATACCTGAAAATCTGTGTTTCGAAGAAACACTCAAACAGACGATGATGGCCGATCATTTTGTATCGTATAAAATATTGTGTTAAGTGTTTGACGTTTGTACATATTATTCGGTGTCTTAATTGTGTTTACTTCGTTAGTGATTTTCTGATGCAAGGCGTTTATTTTATTTTTTATTGCAAACATTTATATTCAATGTCGGCTATTACAAATAAGTATCAAAAGCGTATAAAACTTGAATGTTTAAAACGAAGATCAAGTTTTGATTAAGATTATCGTAAAAACCATGAGATTTAATACAACGCCAGATAAAGGATCAAGATTAAGGCTTTTGGAGTACCCGATAACCCATTTGAAGCCAGTAAAAGGAATAAAAATTAATATATACCATTATCAATAAGCTTTATATTTTATTCGGTTCTATTTAAATGGGACTTAGAAGTACTAAGAGTCGTAAATTATAATTTTTCATTTAAAACCTACCTATGGTTATTTCAGCCATGTATTTGAATTCTTGTTGCAAAAACAATTATTAAAATTATTTCCCATGTATATAAGTTATGACAGAAGATGTCGATTCTTAAAATTTAAATAATGAGTTGGCAATAGTATGCGACTTAGTAGACACGCAACATCGATCTAAAAATTCGGTTTTTAATGAAAAATCTTTGAACAGTCCTATAATTAAAAAAAATGAACTTCATGTTGATATAATATTGTCCGTAAACTTTGAAATTTTAGAAAGTGTGTGACAGTAGGAATCAACTATCGAAATATCGATCCGGCAAGTACAAATTATCAATAGTGGTTGACTGGTCATGAGTTGTAAATAAAGCGGTCGCCGGGCGTGTCACTAAAAAAAATGTACCAATATAACAATTATTTCGGAATCAGTTTTTTGTTGTAACTGTACCGATTGGAATAATCACGCAAAAGGAACAATTAATAGTATCATTTTACGTACGCATGAACCCGAGGACATGTGATCCGTAGGGATATGACAGTGCGTTTCTCTTGACCAAATGGGATATGACCAAGAATAATTGGAAAAAGACCTATAGAAGAAAACCCGAGATAGGCATTTTTAAACATGATTTACAAGAGTTAGAGCGAACTCCTTCATGCCAGTTTATGTTAGGATTTGATAATTTGAACTTCGAAACATTTTCATTTTGAAAACACCTTCACCGCAACTACCGCACAGCTTCATTCACTACAATTGCTTATACGTGGACCATTACACTAATACTAATAAATAAATAATAATGAATTAAAAGTAAAAACTGAATAAAACCATGCCATGATAACTATAATACTTTATTATCATCTGCTGCAATGCAATGAAGTCGTCACCATTGGTTTTTTTTACTTGTTTACATGCCAGGATGTATACATTCATGATAATATATTATTATTTATTTATTTAAAGTATATAATCATGCTCTAAAATTTTAAAATTATAAAAAAAGATTATTTTAACATGAATAACATTACCAACGGCGCAACCCTAACGTCCAGAACTATATTGTTTGCGGGGGAGCTATTGGTATGTACATCGATGGTGACTGGAATAACCATACTTTTATATTTCTTACTAGCCAGACGTCCACGTGCAATTCAGTTGGTGACCGGTGACGTTCGGTCATTCGCTGTGTTCGTGGCGCCGTACGTAATCAATTTTATGGTATGTTGGCATCTGCTGTTAGCATTTGAAAAACTGATAATGTCCACACGGATCGTAAATTTCACGTCCCAATACTATGTAACATCCAAAATAACTTTGAATTTCACCGCGTTCGCCATCAAGCACCATTTGTTTTGGACGCGGTCCAACTACTTCTACAAATTAATGTTGTTTGTCAGCCACTTGGTTCTGGTAGCCACGTCAGAAGCTATGTGCTACGAAGAATATGAAAAAACGACAATACATGCAGCTATGCTACTTTTGCTTTGCCTGACCGTACTTATATTGGTAGGTCGCAAATTTATACCTACTTCACATCATTAATTTGTTTCGTTATAGAGATGATCTTGTAGAAGCTGTAGGTTTGTTACGATCAAATCCGGTTTCGTATAAACAATGCAGTCAATTCATATTTTTATTCACTAAAATTAAAGTATTGTGTAATATGTATATAGTTTTTGTATAATACAAACAGTATACAATCCTTACCAAAATAATCTTCATTTTTTTTTACTATTGATATTGAAAAAAAAGAAACTAATTAAATACATTTTCGTCGAATACAGCAACGTATATTATATCATATTAATTAAAGCAGAGTTACCTACTCGAATTTAATAAAAATCTATTTAATCTACTCGTATATATGGGTACGAATGAAATTAGAAAAAAATAAATACTTGATAAGTAATGAATTGTAAATAATAATTAAAGGATCAGATGTTGATTTATAAAACATTATAAAATTTAATTTTATACTTTGCTTCTTCTATAATTATAATATTTTTCTGCTAAATCCGCTGTTATTTTCTATCCAAAGTACATAATATTATAAGTGTACTTTTATCAATTCCGTTTATTATTGTCTTAACTAATTCTATCTCTTTCGTTGTCATATCATTACTTACATACCTTCTACACATAGTATTGATATAATTCCGTACGCAGATAGCGCCGGCAAATACATATCAAAAGTTGGTGTTAACTGACGTTCTAACTTGGAAGCGATGCTCACTAGTGTATGGACTGGTGACAAGTGCTTGCCACAATTGGCTGAATTCTGGTAGCAGAGGAGCTGTCGACACGTTGCTACTGGTGCTAGTGGTACATGTGCAGCTGGTGTTCCTGTGCATCACCTACTTTTCAGATGGCCAGCAAATATTGCGCAACATCGTCGGCCTGGGCACGTACAACCCAATGGCAGATTCACTGGACATATATTTCACTATGGATTCGATAGTGTCGAGAACGGGCGCGTACATCGACAACCACCAAAAAGGCTTGTTCATACTATGACACCGATATCACGGCAGTGCATGAAATTTAATATCGAAACGTAAAGTGTCGTATACTGTGCTCACATTAATTAGTTCCACGGTATTAAATATAAATAAATAATAATAAATAAATAGAGAACGTTTTGATAATTTTATCATCAGTTGTTAATTTTGTTTACTTGCTACTTATGCTACTTCACTGAGTATTTTAGAATAAGTGTATAAATGTTTTACTCGAATTTATGTTCAGTTAAAATAGTAAAAAAGTCAATTCAATTTTATTAATATATATTTTGTTTGTTAATATCCTAAATTATTATAACGCCTATACATATTTTAATGTGTAATCCAGGACGTTATTTCTTCTACTCTCTCTATCGAATCTATTGGAAAATATTTCTATTAAAAAACTCTGTAGGTAGGTACTTATCTTCATAAATATATCAAGTTGTTTTTTATTTTATTAATATCCACAGATGATTATCTGTAGAACATATTACTAATACACATTTGACTATAAATTGATCCATTAATTCTATTCCTGAAAATATTGTTAATAATCTAATAACTTCTTCCAATTAAATATAAAAATTTTAATTCTCTTTTGTCAAAACCTTCAATCAAAAAAAAAATAAAATATACCTCGAATCAACAATATTGGTCTTTTATTTCTAACACATTAGTAAGCGTCAAACGGAAAATCTATTTTTACACAGTTTAAACAAATCCTCGTTGCTTCTAACAATCAATTCATACTTCATGGATGTATTCCCATTTCAGATCAATTTTCCGAGGATTGGAGTTGTGTCAATAGAACTAAGTATGCTTAAAATATTATACTCCTTAGTATATTACCAATGTTGTACTTTGTATTTTATACCTAACTATTAATAAGAAACCCGTTTAATAAAAATGAACATACAATTACAAATTAATAAATATTTTTTTAAGTTCTTGTAACCACAGTGCCAAATGATGAATAAGAAATATACCTAAAAACTAGATAGACAGGATGTATTCCTTTATCTTTGACTATTTTACCAAAAACAAAAGTTGAATAGTTTTTGTGATGATATGCTCATATATTATCATAATTATTGTGATTATTATATTATTGTATATAATTCAATAAAATAAATAACGGTCAAGTTGTCGCACGCAGATAACCGTTAAAATTCTATATACGTCATCGATCACTGATGAAAGAAACGATTTATATTATTTAGTCATGTAAGAACTCACACGTAGTAGTGACAATGTGATGCAATACACATGATCTATTTCGTGTGCCGCCAAAGACAAATGATAGCCGAGGGTCTCTGTCACCTAAAAGAAAACCGATTTCTTAAGAAAGTGTGGAGACCTTTGATAAAGTCACCTGCGACTCTGTTCGGCTTGTCTAGGTCGTCTCCTCTCATCAGTGCATCAGCACCAGCCAAACTATCGAATGCATGCGCACTTACCTCACAAACAAGAACTCTCCATATAAAATTATGCGAGCGATAGCTGGACTTCTTCCTTTTCAATAAGCTAAACCAGAGTTGTTTTTTCTTATTTATTTGAATTTAAGTGTTCCTCGAGTTGTTTCTTAATTAGTGTTACCTTAACTTTTTCCAAAGAACATACAATACATATTCACTACTGCGAATCTGGTAAGGTGCATGACTAAAATACTACTTATTACTACTATAGTTTTTTTTATATTAAATTTACGTAACGATGTACTTGATCACTTTCACGAGACACGATCTCGAAAACATTCCGAAGATCAGGAGAAAGGTAATAACATCTTTTAAAACTTTATTTCTATCACAATTTTATTCTCTTAATTTTTACGTTATTACAGTAAATAAAAAATTTAGTTAATTTAATTTTTTTTTATGTCGTTTTTCGAAAAATTATCTACAATCTTCAAAAAACAAAATCTCGTGTAAATGTTATTAGTAATTTCAAAAATTATTCCGTATAAAAGTATAAAAAGAATTATTTATGTATATAAAGATAAAACAGATAAATGTAATAACAATCTGTAAACTGAGTCAGTAGTTTTAAAAGTTAACCTGAACTAAGATGATGACTCTCCTTTAAATATATAAACAGGATTTGTATTACAGACAAATATTTATTATACACATATATTATATTACTTTTTAAGTAAGTAAGAATTTGTATCTTAATTTTAATAAATTTCATTTATTTCTTAGAAAATAGCACCTTCTTCTTTCTTGGCTTTACAATTCTATAAGAATTTTGGCCACCACCATCACCGTTCTCCAGTAATTACAATCTTGGACTCTATCTTCTCAATCTATCACTTCAAGTGTTTCTAAATCCTATTTTATTCCATCCATCTATTTATTGCTTTCTAGTTCTTCCTCTTTGTCTTTCTTCTGTAAGCTGCAATTCGATTGCTGCTCTCATAATAATGGTTTCTGTTTTTCACATAGTATGACCAAGCCACTTAGGTATTGAACACTTAATGTAGCTTGTTAACAATGAAACTTCAGTGATTTCTTTTAATTCAATATTTTTCCTTTTACGTCATATGTTTAACTCACTATCAAACATTAGACCACAAATCTTCCTTAGTATTTTATTTTCAAAAACTAACAGCTTTTTTTTCTAATTGTATATTAGTGAATTATATTTCATATCCATAAGTCTTATTATAACCATGTACAGTATAATCTAAGTTCTTTTATAAAATAGTTTTGATTTAAAAAATATATGCAACGCAAAATAAGCCCTCAAAGCTACAAACAAATAAATTATGTCAGTATTACTTAAAAAATAAGTAATGTTATAATATTCAATGTTGATAAGAGCTAGGTCAGATAACTTGTGCTTTGATAGAGTACTTCTCAAATAATTTATTATTTTAAGCTTAAAGAATGTACGCTCTGCGCTAGTTAATGTAATTGGTATAGTGAGCATTATTCTGATAGCCAGTTCTATATAGGAAATGAATGTAATTATTACGTTTTACACCGTACACTTGCACGGGCTCCAAAAACTATAAAAAAAAAAAATGCAAAAACATAAAAATGCAGAACTAAACAATAATTTTGCATTAACATTTATTCCCCATGTATAAGATCGTACGTTTTAAGGGGCCCACACATCCCTTCTTTTTGTTTTAATTTTTTAGAGGCTATGAATATAACAGAGAAAACGGCCCTCGTCTCTAACATGCTAATCTAATCAATAAATTACCCCTATAAATATTACCAATTAAACCAGTGATTTATATTTTTAATCAGTGTAGGTAACAAGGCCAGTGAATGAACAGGTCCATTAAATATACACTTCACCGTTTTCTTTAAACAATAAGGCACACCGATTAATACAGCGATGTATTTAGCTTAATAAGAACTTATAATAAAGTAACACTGTAAATTTATATGTTCCTAGGTATTGTGTAAAATAAAACTTTATATTTTAATTAAATATGTAGTCATAATATAGGTAGTATTGTTATTATTAAACTATAATTTTTTTTTTTTATAAGGATCATGTAGGAAGTTACCTATCTATTAATAAGAAAATGTTAGTTTTGTTTATAACTATTTTTAGAATTTACTTATGTTCAATTGTTTAAATATTTATAATTTTAATTTTAAATTCTACAGTATTCAATTGTTATATGTTCAAATTATTCTATAGTAACTGAATTATCATTTTTTATTTTTTAAGCACCATATAGAAAGTTACTTATTAAAAGTAAATGTTATTGATTTTATAATTATTTTTTTTAGTATTTAATGTGCAATTGTTTAAAACTTATATATGATGTACCTATTGTTATTTAAAATAAATATTTTATACCTATTGCACCTACAATTTTAACAGCTTCTATAGTTTTTATTGCGATAACATCTCTTACCTTATAAAAAATAGTAAAAAAGTAAAGTAGGTAAAAAAAAAAATATGGTAAATATCAGTGTTCATTTACCGGAGTATTGGTATTCATTTAATGAACGATTTGTTCATTTACTAGGAAAACTTTTTTTTTTTTTATGAATGACTTTTTAAAAACATAATTTGTTTTAATATAATTAAATTGTGAATTTTATGTTGCATAATATTTTCATGTGTAATAAAAATATATTTTATGCTCAGAAATTCTGAACTCTATAGAGTTATTTATTTAAAAGGTTTTTAAATTCTTAGGTGTTCATTCATTGTCTCTATTATATATGATGTTTGTATTATTATTCAAAGATGTTACTTATAAATATTGTATTGCATTCTACGACTGTACGTTGCTAAATTATCAATTATTAGATGTCTCAAAATCGGACGAGTTTTACCAAAGGTATTGAAGATAGACATTGTTAATTGTTTAAGAAAATTAATTAAATAAACTTTAATAACCTTTTAACACTTTTAAACTTTTTATTTCAAAACCATGAGTGTGATAGACTTAGATATTAATTGCGTATGTACATTTGTACATATTACATAGTAAATACATAAGCATTCCTCTTTATTAGTTATTTCAAAATTAAACAGAATAATAATAGCCCTACCTAATAATTTGATGCATTATGATTTTATGACTTTTTAACAAAGTTTTTCTGAACTATTAATTTAAAAGAAGTGTAGAATACTCGAAAAATATAGGGTATTTGTTTTAGGAGTGTTATTACATTGAGCCAATTGTAGATACATTTGAGATCGTATATTCATGTTCCTATATTTCTATACTTGTTATGTTTTATTATTTACCCATAGTCTATTTTTATTTTTAAATTATTTGAGCAATGAATTATTTATATTTCATAATATATAATATACTATTTTTCTATTGGTTGTGTATTTTCAAACGTAAAAAAAAAATTGTGACTTCTTAACGCTATAAAAAGATAATTTTGGAATTCTTATCCAGAATCCACTTATAACTTATTAATTGAAGTATAACAATCACAAAACTAAAAAAAAACAAACAAACAAAATACTTAGTTATTGTAAAAAGATAAAATGTTATCTCGTTTCTATAGTTTTTATTTCTATGAATTATGGTTTATTTAATTTGATTATTTAATCCTCAATAGTTTACTTATTTAGTCTACTTTGACGAGTTTTATTTGTTAACACCACAAAAGATTAAAGTTTTCAATTTATAAAATCCTATAATCAATGGAGTCGACTGAAATAAAAAATATCAAGAAATATATCGAGTTTGAGAAACAAAAGTTTATAACTAAGTACCTAAGTTATTTGACTTGAATGTAATATGTATTTGATTTTTAAATGGTTTATCTATATCGAGTCGAAAACGGTATATGATTTAAATGTTATTTACCTATTACAATACAACAGTTAAGGTTTTTATTTGAATGCTAATAAGAAGAAAAATATCTAAGTCCATTTTATATATTGTCTTTAAACCACTAATGAACAATAGTTATAGATTCATTTTTCAATTCTTTACCATACCTTCTACAGGTATGGTGAGCCAAATGTGGACATCATTCCAGTATCTGACTTGTCATTTTCTCATAAATTATGGACGGGTAGATTTGGTCATATGGTATTGGCCCGACATTGTGCCACCGGTGAGTTGAAAACTGTGAAGGCAGTAAGTGCTAAAGTGGCATCCACCTGGCCAAAGAATGTGAATGCCGATCGGAATGTCATGGCAGCGATGGGTACGTTTCCATTCACGGTCCGTTTGGAATGCTGGGCCGCGGACGCTGAGTGGTTGTACTTGATCATGCCTATAGTTTCTATCGGCACTCTATTCGAGCTTGTGTCTCAATATGGAAGGCTCAACGAAAACGTGGTCCGTTTTTTCTCTGCTCAGGTAGAATTAGATTTACATTTTATAATCAATTAATTATAATATTATAACCTTTTGTTATGTTTGTCTGAAGTGCTGTAATTCACATACGTGAAATTAGTACCCACCGACTTCATCCGAAAGGCCTCAAATCAGTGTAAATTTTGTTATCGATTTGCAATATAGATAAAAAAATATATAAACATTTTTTTTTAACAACAACTCTGCTAAATGTAGTTCAGGGTTTTTAATGCCACTAATTTTAAACGATTGTTAAAATAAAAAATTCATATTTGGCAGATCTTGCTAGGAGTTGAATTCTTACATGCTACAGGGCTAGTGCATCGAAACCTCAAGCCTGAGAACGTGCTGGTCAACGTTAATGGTTATTTGCGGCTGTCAGGGTTCGGTGACAGTAAGTTGATCGGGCGAGCCAGTCGCACCTACTCATTTTGTGGCACTCCTGATTACATGCCACCTGAGATGGTTGGGTTCCGTGGATACGGTTTGGCCGTGGACTACTGGAGCCTAGGTATCATGCTCTACGAGATGGCAGCCGCGCATCCACCATTCATAGGACCAGATGTCGGCGTGTTGTTTGAACGGATCTTACGTGGCGAGTACCGAATGGATAATATGTTCAGCCCACCACTCCGAAACTTGATTCAAAACTTGGTTCAAGTGAGCGTGACAATAATAACGACAATAATGTATTAATTTCACTGCAATCATTTTTACGCTTTATATAATCTCACATTATTATAGGTCGTTTAATAGACACCACATATTTAATATTAGTTAGTATAATTTATTATATAATTATTAAAAACAACAAAATTATGGCATAAACCACTTTTTAAATTTCTAAAATACCAACAATATTGTTTCAACAATTCTATTTTGAATTTTTTTTGCGCAATACTATAATTTCTAAAATCATAATTATTAATTAGATCAGTGGTACCCAACCGAGGAGGGGGATTTAAATACTGCACAAGGGGAGAGTATGGTGATAATGAAAGAAAAATAATTTTGTTAAAAAAATTATGCCGTTTTGCAGTCAGGAAAATTGAAAATAATGAATTAATGTTTGGACGGTCCGATCATTGACAAAAATTTTACAAGTATTTTTTTAATGATTAGGTTAATTAAAGTTTAAATCATACACCGTCCGGCTATCTGTTGGCTACCCGATTATGAAATCCAAATATAAACGAAATTCTAGCTATTGATGATCAACTCTTATTCAAAAGTAAATGAATAAGCTCTCCACGCATTAATCCAATTTGTATCTACATATATTTTTAGTTTAGTTTTTTAGACTTTAACAAATAAAAAGCAATCAAAAAAATCAGTTCAAAGTAGAAAATGATAAAAGTTGCGCGTTCCCAAATTTCTCATTAAATTTTAATAATTATAATATTTAATTTTTAATATAAAAATGCATACAATTATTTTCAAAAATAAACATCATTATTTATATAATATTAAGTTATTTTGTATCACTAAAATAAAAAAAGGTCTTTTTTAAAGGGAACGTACAAATTTTGAAAATTTACACGGGAGGGGGGCATAGAATAAAAGGTTAAGAACCACTGAATTAGATTATATTGTAGTTTTTTAGTAACACGTATTTAAAAATATCCGATAAACTAGATTTATTTATATAAAATTCTAAATTAGGATATGTCTCACATGCGTATATTCGAGTGTCATTATTTTTTCACGTAGTGCGTTAGGGTACAGTAACTATTGATATAGAAGAACATGGATTTGAATTTGAATTAAGTCGTATAGAAACACTAAATTCTTTTAATGTACTTAATTCAATGCCTAGGTATCGAACTTATTCCTTGAGTTGAAATTGAACTCCGCTAATCATAAAATTAGATTTTTCATATTTTCTTTTGGTTATTCATAAAATAGACTTTTGTTTTCTATATAGACAGTTGATGCCGATTCTTATCCATCCATTTTGCTATTTATTTCAGATTTTGTTTGTAGTTCCCTCTAGAATAGTTTTATGTAACCTGTTTTTACCATTTTAATACCATTTGCAAAGGCTACAAGAGTAACTTTATAGTTTCACCAAATTCAGTTTTAAGAAAATCATCATACATCAAATATATGTTCCGCAAAAATGGTCCGAAAATCAACCCCTGTAGAATTACACATGATACAATTTGACGCATTTTCTCATCAAATTCAATCGCTCGGTCACATAAGAAGTCACGAATAATTTCCATAAAATAATATTTCGGTACCCTTTTCCTGCGTAATACTGCTTCGATTTTTTCCCTCAATGTGTTCTTTGGCATAATCGTCTATCGGTTGCTTGTTTTACATTATCCAAGACCCTTGTAATAGCGTCGCTTGTAAATCAACCGTTCCTAAATCCATACTATCATTCACTCTGACCATTAATATTCTCTAAATGTAATTTTAATCGTCCTTGCTTAGACTAGCCGCATTCTACGCCTTAGAGAATGAACCATGTTTAAAATACAAATTTAATACACTTCACCTAGAATCTCAGGTATTCTGGCCGCTATCACTTTAATAACAATATACGATTCTTAATCTGGGCTGGGAGCTTTAACCATTGCTATTTTGAAAATCACTTCTGTGATTCCAGTCTACAGAGAAGCGTTAATTCCAGGAATTGGACTTCTACTTACAAGTTTTTTGGTCACAATTTTATGGAGCAGATCACAAAGATCTGTCTCTGTTTATTGACATAGATTGTCCCAGTTTTTTTATTTTTTTACTTTTCCATATTTTCCTCTTCAGCTTGTTTTTTGTCTCCCTATATTCCAGTCATTTCCCGTTAGCAACTCTTTTCGTACTTTTTCTTAGCTACTAGAAATGTTCTTTTTAGGCTTACGATATCCTGTGCCCGCCAAAACAGACTTTTTGCTTTCTCTATATTTATATTTCAGTATGCAGCTATCATAGGCTTATGATGTTCAGATTTACACTGCCACCCCTGACCTGCCGTTTCAATCCTGAAATCATTCTTCCTTTTTTATTCGATTTTGAACTGTTTTCAAATAAAAAGTACATCTAAACCTAGCGGCTAGCACCTTTATTTTAGCCTTCGTAAGGTCCTGTGCCACTCTTCTGTCATCCACATTTATCTGCAAACACTGAACCCTGTTGATTTGGGTCATGCTTTCTACCAGAATTTGGCATCTACTGATTAATTTCTGCCTCCATTAGTTTGGTTCTTGACCTAGTTCTTTTCCCGAACTTCACTTGCATATCTGTTAGATTTTCAATCCACCGCCATAATGTCTAATTTACTATGCCTACAATAACAATCAGACTTATCTAGCCCTGTATATTCTTTTCTAGGTGATTTCATATCAAACACTTTTAACATATTTTCTTTCATTCTCATTTACAGACCCGACAATTTGTGTAGTCTAGCTTTTAAGCCTAAGATGCCTTGAATACCTTCGTCAACATTGTAACAGAAACCTCCTTCCGAACCCAGTTTTTTGTTTTCTAAAGACTGACAATAATATTTCAATAGTTATCATGACTGCCAGAATACTATAAGAAACGCTAGATGCTTCCACGATTTCAAACCTTTTCTGCTTGCTCACCCATGTCAAGAACAGTGACCTTTTATAACTGTTCCAAGACTTTAACTACTCCTGGATCTTTAATAGCCTTGAATCCATTAACAAGGCTGAATCTACTGTAACTGTTGTTGCTGTGATGTAGCTTTTAATTGACAACCACACCTTGTTAATTAATTTGGCCGCTTTAAAGAGATTTCTTAAGTTTTTACATAGTTCCTTTACGCCTTTTTTTTAAATTTTTCCAATGCTACTAACTGGCAATTTACTTAACCAATATCCGTCGAATATACGAAACATATGCTTCCAAACTAAATGTTTGATTAAAATGCTTTTTATATTAATAATTTCTACTACAGTTTTATATTTTCATATTTATAGAAAGACTTGACCAAACGACTAGGTAATTTGAAAAATGGAATTTCTGATATTAAGAACCATACATGGTACAGTGCTACAAATTGGTTGCAGATAATTAATCAAAAAACGGAGTCACCTTTTAAACACACCAACACTAGATTTATACCACCGGATTACGCAGAATTAGCGTTGTGGAAAAATGATGAATTTTTCGATTTTTAATTTTAATTAATATTTTTATTTTTTTATTTTTTGTAGATGCATAGAAATGTATGAAGAAAAAAAGTGGTAAAATACTGTATGTATTAATAGATATTATTGTATTGAATCGCTAATAAAGCGTGATTTGACGTATTGTATTGCATTATAATAATTCACAATTTTTAAAATATAATAATAATTATAATTTATAACTTTTTAACATTGTACTATTTCAAATCAAAAATTTAAAATTTATGTAGTATCCTCATAATAAACAGAAATTTAATTTTTGTGGAAACCTTAACTTTGATAAAAACCCCGTATGTAACTTATTTGGTTACCGCTAAACAAATTGTTATGTCATTATTAATTTATAGTTTTATTTTCTTTTAATTTAAAATGTTAAGATGTTTATTTGTGATAAAAACAAGTAAAAGCTTAGTGTTTAACTAAAAATACTGAGCTCAATCAAAATAATAACTAGGGAAAAAATCTTTACTTTGAAAATTGGCCCAGAAAAATAGGTGTCCGTGTTAAAGATTTTTGATATACTGCCGAAACTATTCTTACATTTTTGCAGACAATCTACTTTCAGACTATTATTTACAAATTAAGTCTATACTGTACAATATGTAGGTACTTGTAAACTAATTTATGTAATAAACAAATTAAATAACTAATGTCAAGAAAAGAATTTTCTTATGTTTATGACAAAAACAACTTTATGTAAACCATTCCAAAAAAGACCAAATTAAAAAATCGAAGGGAAAGAATGGAATAAACATAAAAATGATAAAGATTAAAGCAGAGAAAAAAATATAGATAGAGAAAAGTCTGCTTAATGTTATTGATTTAATCCAGAACAATAAAAATGTTTATATTTTAAATTGGGTGGTTATATTATAAAAGTAAATTATTTGTTCATAATTGTTCTATGTACAATTTAACATCTTATAAATACAAATGTTAATGGTAGCCAATTAGATCTTTTAACTTTATCTTTTACAAACTGTATTATGGTAATGAAAAAAATTATTTAGCAAATTGTAAAATTACACATTAATTGATAACCTTATACAATATTCGTTTTCTTGTTGTGATTTGAAATTTAACTAATGTATAATATAATAGTTAATATAGAAAATATTAGAATAGCTAGAAAGGGCCAATTACTCATAATTTAGATAGAAATAACTTGAATTCTAGATTTCAATCATTTTCAATTGGTAGTAATAGTTCTTATAAAGCTGTTAAAAATGTTTTAAGTTTAGGCTTGGATTTTTAAAGATATAAAATACTCAATTCATAAAGGATTACTTAAAACAATGATTTTTAGATCCTTTTTTTATTTTTCTACTACTATATGTGTTGTTTTCTCCTAATTTCTGACAGGGATTGCAATGTTATATTTTGTTGCAAACAATGCAAATCGTTTTTCCTTTACGGCACTCTTCAGTCTTTGATAACACAAATTCGCAGAAATTGAAAAAATCGCCATCTCTTCTACATTCGAGTAATAAACCTGTTACTCGTAAAACATCATCGAAAAATTCATAAGTGAATATTTTCAAAATTATTGCAGCCTTGCAATCGTCTCATGAGAAACGTTTGAAATTAAATCAGCAGAATAATAATAAATTTTCAGTCTAGCTCAATGAACTCCAGTTTTGGGGCCAAATATCTATCCTGAACAAAATATAACTGCATGCAACTACACTAGGTACATCCTTTTCTTGATTGCTGCTCATTTAATTCATCCATGAATTTTGTAAATTCGAAAAGTGTTATTCTAACGTAATTGCCTATTTTTCTATTTCTACCATTCGCGCTCCTCAAAGAAGAATCGGTAACGATAAAAATTTAGTAACTGACACAAATTCTAACCTCTCATTTATATATAATCGGACATTAAAATATTCAAAATCAGAAAATATGTAAACTAAACTACACTACACATTCACTAACAATAATCTTTAAATATAATGAAGAAGCAGTATCTTTACTACTGCCGTTACTTAATGACGTTAAGAGGAATCATATCCAGTTTTTCCTGGGAATCAACTGTTTGGGATAAAACTTAATTTAGCGTGAGATACTAAATAAATCACATGAATATCTGGGTCGTCATAGGCTATTAAAAGGATTTTTAACATAATTAGCTATAGTTCACTATATTGTGTCAAAATATGATAAAAAAATTTACACAATTTTTAAAAATATTAATACAATTTCAACTTAAAAAGGACAAAAAAAAGTATTACTTACTTACTTTTTAATTTTTTTTATAAAATAGTAAATACACAACATATTAAAAAAATTAACTTTAAATGAATTATTTCTTAATAGACTTAATACTACCTTATATTTTAGCTCAGAAGACCTTAAATTTTAACAAAATTAAAGTCAATTTACGATGTTCGAATTTGATTCTCAAAAAAAAATTTTACTCCATAGAAAATTATCTATAGATCGTACGGAATACTTTATAAAAATTAAAACTTATATTATTATAAAATGTAATTAAAAAATTGAAAAATTTAATGTTTTCAAATTATAATTTAAATTAAAAATAGAAAGTGTTTTGTACGATCTATTGACATTTTTCTGCTGAATTCAAATATTCTTTTCAGAATCAAGATCAGATAACGTCAATTAATTTTAATTTAGTCAAATCAATAGTTAGTTGAAGTAAAATCCGTTGTTTTTGTTGTTATTGAATATCGAGTTATTGATATGTGTAGGTATGCGTATAGAGAGTGGCATCCATCAACAACTCCAGCCGTGATACGGTTGTCAATTAAACGATTACCAGAAACCGATAATTTAACTAATAATGTAATAATTAATAACCATCCAATCCACTAGAGAACTATTATTAGTATAATAACAAATCAGTATTCAAGCTCAAAAAAAAAAAAAAAAATGAATCAGCAATAATATAATATCTACCTAATACAAATTAATATTCATAAATTATAAATTATTTTAAGATATTTAAATTGAAGTATAAGTACTTAGCTATTAATTACATTTATACTATAACTTATATTAACACTATTTATTAGAATAGAGTATAAACAAACAATAGACAATAGTTAATATTAAGCTTCTAAGTTTTATTATATTATATTACTGTATCATAGTAATACTTAACTATTAATAATAATTAATAACCATTTATCAAAATATACACATTATTGTATAGGTATAATTCATATTACCTGCCAAAAAAAAAAAAAGACAATCAGTAGGTTAATAAATGTATTCTTATTTATTTTAAAAATATTCATGAAGAACATATTAATTAAAAGTTGCAATTTATAATAAAATAATAAATTAAGTCAAAATAGTAATAATGTATGTGTTGTATGTATTTTCTTATTTAGAATAAAAATAATTACATATTTTACTTATTATAAAAAGGTCATTTTAAGTATCTAATTCTAAAATTATTCACGTGAATTTTTAAGTAATAATATTTAAAAATAATTTAATATTAAAGTGGGTTAATAATTACTGTTAAAATAATGCAATAAAAATGTATAATTCTAAATTTAAATCGATTTTAATGAAATGTATTCACAAAAGGAGAAGATTTTAAACAATTGCATATTATTGAAATAGACAAAATAGAAAATATAATTTATTACAAAATCGAATGTAAGGTAATACGCTTTTTATATTCATTTTTTGTCTGTAATATAATATCTTTATTAATATTATTTAAATTCAAATTCTAAACAATGGATAAAATAGTTATTTATTTTATTTTATTAAGAAAATTAATTTATTATTATTTAATCTATAATATAATATTAATAATAACACTTAATTTAAGAACTTAAAAAATAATTTTTACTAAATTTAAAATGGTATGTTATACTATACATTTTTTATCATGGGTATTTTCTTTTTTTATGATTTTTGAAAGTGGTAGGTTTTCTTCGGCGTCTTTCATCTCGAAGTAATTAATGATCTTCATAAATTAATTCTTCTGTTTTACATCGTTTAGAATTCCCAGAACTTGGTATCGGTAATACAGGTTTTACATCGCCGAGATTTTCATTATCCATGTTAATTGAATCAATTTCAAGAATAGATTTTTTTGTAAGGCCACAAGATGTAGTTTGGACATCTTCTAAACTATCACTGCTCGGTAAACCTAGTTTCCGTTTACCATTCGCAATTGGTTGCATCTCCACATCATGATTAGGAATATTTTGGCTATTGATCAAAGACAAAAGATACGAGTCAAGTTTCAAACTATCTAATGGACAGGGCTCCTTACAAATAGGACATATCCATGTAGGTTTTATATAATTCAAAGAAATGAAAGTTTGAAGGTCAAAGCATTCTACATGATTACAATTTTCAGATTTTGCAGGCAACTTCATTCTTAAATTATTTATAGGACATAAGAGGTTTACTGTATAGAGTGCGAAATTTGAACCATTCATAGAATCTTTCACTGATTCCATCATCAGTTTTTTTGTTTTTAATACAGGAATAAGTTGATTTTTATCTGTTTTAAAGTATTCCACCACTTCTTTAACACCAATTTCCTCCACCAAATATATAATTATAATAAATGGTTTTTTATACTCAGGACAATATACTGTAAACCTATTAGGATTAACAGTATTTAAGTTCAAATAATCAATAGGATCAACATATAAAGGGTTTTTCATATCATCCGTTGGAAGTTGCTTAGAATTAATCCACATATTAATTGATGTTGGAACAACGTCTAATAATTCAATTGTCCCAGGCTGCTGTTCACCAATACGGATCAGTAATTGGCAGGGCTTCTTTCTATCATTAGAAACTCTGTTTGATAGGTTAATTTTTTGAACATCTGATAACGACAAATAAAATTCTGAGCCAAAATGACAGCATACTGAAAATAGAAAAATGATATTTAATAACTCCATAAAATTTATAATTAATCATTAACTTTTTTAATAATTAGATATACCGTTAATTGGTCCCACAGTTTGCACACCTGGTGGGTAGTGAATATACATTGGTGGAACAATTGTATTTAAGATACGCCGAAATGGAATAACTTTAAATTTTACAATGCGTTCTTCTGTGATCTCTCGATCACCATAACGATAGAATTCATAATTTCCGTCCAATATGCAATTTTCTGCAGCTAGGCAATTACATTGTGGTGTCTCTGAGGATTGATCCATTTTAAGATACTTTTCAGACCTAAAATTCATAAGTCATATCATAACTTAATTATTTCAAAATATTCAATTTTTTTTTTTATCACTAAAAAAGTAATAAAAATAAATAAACTATACAAACAATTTATTTATATTAGACAACAACAACTTAATAAAAGAACAAGAAATAAAAAACCATAACCTAAGATCAGTAAAAATAGATTTAGATAGTATTTGATAAGGTCAAAAGAAAAAATTCCCAGTATATTTCAAAATAACCGAGGAATACTAAAAAAAAAAAATTAAAGAAAATGAGAATTTTAAAAATTAGTACAAAATGCTTATTATTTTTTTTTAATCTAATAAAAACAATAAAACAATACTTGAAATTATTTTCAAATATTTATGTTGGTGTTTCCAACATTTACAACATTATAGTTAAAACTTGAAAATTTAATAAAAGATTCCTGATTATTTTTTTAATTTTAACAAAAAAAAAACTAGAAAGTCACCTTGATTTTTATGACTGTTTGAAAGTCAAATAATTATAAGTTATAACATATAATATTCATCCGTATGATAGTAATAATAATTATTTCTTTTCTAACAATTTCTGATAATTAGTTTTGATTCATAAATGAATAACCATAAAATTTGAACTAAATGCTATGCTAACTATGATGAAAAAAATTACTTACAAAATTCTTGAAAATTTTGAAGAAAATCTCATAGTTGAATATAAATATAAAAAATATAGTCATAAACAATTTTATAATATTACATTTATATATTTTAATAATAATTATTATTTTATTATAATTTAAAAAAAATTATTTGTAGGGATTTAAAGTATTTAAAAATAATATATTATAAATTTTACTATATATAAAAAATTTTCAAAATATGTAGATTTATTTTAAGATATTATCTATAAATAGTATGGTCCTATTTACACGTTTTAACAATGTTTACAGTAAAGTATTATTAATGCAAAAGTTATTAACAATAATATAATATAGTACATATATTAAAATTTTTAAATTCATTTAAATTTATTATAATGTAATAAATGCCATGTTTTTGAAAAAATTTAATTAACCTACCTTAATATTGATGATAATAAAAACCATACGATGAAATATATTATAATCATTAAATTCAATTTTTAACACACACTTAACAGTGACCACTTGACACCTTATGTACATTGTACAGCCAAGTGGTACTCATTTGTTTACCTTTTTTATTTTAAATATTTTACTTAAGTACATCTTATATATAACTACTGGCTATTATAGTTAACATGTGTAGCATATGGAGTTTATTGTGTATCTTAAACAATTAGAGTACAGTTTTCCTTTGTAGATTTATTAATCAAGACTAAAAAAGTATTTCTAAAAACTCCTACACAAATTTAAGAGTTGTTTCCTAAATAATTGTGTCTCATGTCTGAGCCAAACATTACTTGGTGAAGAACTGATTGTTAATGAGTAATGACTATTAGAATACTATTTTAAAAATATTGGAAAAAAATTAAGATAATACTTGTATTCTAAATCTTAATTCAAAATTTAAATGCTGCATTGCTATTACAAAAATGATTGAACTATGCAAAATAAATAACAGAAAAATAATTTAACAAATATAAGTATAAATTTTTATTTTTTTGTTTAAGCAATAAAAAAAATTTAAAATATCAAATAAAACAATAATTAAGAGTCTTATGGTAATGAAAAATGCAGCAAAAAAAAAAAATTCAATTTAATTCAAGAAATTCTAGAGGACTTAAAAATAAAAATAAATTAAATGCTAATTTATAAAACTATAGATGATATTTTTTTGGATAAAAATGAGAACCCATTAATAATATATCAAGTATGAAATATACCATATTATATTTGGTCAACAATTAAGGAGCCTTAAAAAAAAAAAATTAGTAACATAAATGCCATACTTTTAATTTGAAAATCATTTAAGGTATATTTTATCCGATTGTTTTCAAACAGATAATAATGAAGATGAATAAATTAAATGAAAAAATTGATTTTATAATTAAATTATAAATTCTACAGTAATTTTTTTATATGATTAAAAATAAATGTAAAATAAAAATTTTTCTATTAAATATTTTTAGGTTTTTAATACATATATTGGCAATAACAATAAATTTATTAATAATATTTTTTATTAATTATTTTTGATGACTATTATTATTATTATTATTATTATTATTATTATTGTTATTATTATAACGTTTAAGTTTCATCTATTATGATTAGTATACGGTTATTACTAAATATAACATGTTGTTATTACTAATGTATAATAATTAATATCAATACATTATTCTTTTTTAACATTTAAAAACAGATAAAAGTTTTTTTTTTAATTTTATAATGTAAAATAAATTTTTATTTAACGAGTATACTAGTAGCATACAAGTTCCTTTTAATGTCTCTCAATATTGGATTATTATAATTTTGTTTCTAATAAAATTAAAACTATTGCAATAAAATATTTCTTATAATTTAAAAAAAAAATTAGCTTGATAATAATCAAGTAGAAAAAATAAATGATAATATGTATATAACATATAAATATTATGATAAACACTATTAATTAGCTTAAAAAATTAATTTTATTTCTAGGTTTCTATTTATATAGTATTTTTTTTTTTTTTTTTTAACATTATTAAATAAAAATAAATCAATATAAAGTAATTAATACAATTATTAATTATAATCTTATTACATTGATAAACAAATATTAAAAAAAAAAAAAATGTTTTAATGGTTTTAGTTAAAAATGTTTCATATGATAAATCAAGACTGCTAGCTGAAGAAGAAAAATTATCTTTATGTTCATTTGATAATAACACTGATTTTAGCAGGTAATACAATTTTATTATAGACATTATTACTATTTGCTATTTGATATTGTGTTGTTAAATAATAAATTATTATTTATAAATTATAATTCAGTAATAGTATTTTAAGTGAAGACAGTTTTAAAGTAAATGAACCTAAACTTTGTCTTGGTAGAGATATTTCAAAATATAGTACTGCAAAAATATCTAGTGCTAGCAAAATTATTGGATCAGCTGATATTGCTCAAACTATTGAAAAAGGTCTGGTCTAGTTATTAGAAAAGATAAATCCAAAAGACCAAAGAGTTTTAAATCTAGTCAAATTGAACGATACAAGTGGCTTAAGTATAGTTGATTAGAAAACAGTGTTTACCATGTAGATCTTTTACTTTCAATAACCCAGATTCTAGTAATATATATAAAAATTGGAAAAAAGCTTTATATCTAATTAAGGACTACTTAATAGAGTAGACTATAAACATTATTGTCAAATTTGGATCGATTACAAAGCTATTAAAGAAAAAATATGATATCAGATTCATCAGTGATTAATGCCGAACATGCCCATTTGGTTAGTAAAGATAAAGGATATATTAATATATTATCAGTACTTATGCTTGCCATCCAAGGAAATGCTTTTTTGGTCATAGAGAAAATGAACAAAATTTAAATCGTAAACATTTTATAAGTGGCTAATATGATTCTTAGAAAAATTAGTTGTGTATCATGCTTTTCTGTAATGACCAATGAAACTAAAGATATTACTGAAACTGAGCAATTTTCTATTGTAAATAGACTAAGATTAAATAAAAAAAAGATTTTTAGGTTTTATTTTCTTAAAGAAAATTAGATGGTAACCCCTAATTTGTATACATAAAAAAAAATCTATTATGTAATTATAAAATAAATATAAATAAATTTGTGGCACAAATATCATAAAGGAACATATTAGTGAGTTCCAACCACTTTTCAGAAAAGAAGTCCCTATGCCTTTTATATTCTTTGTAATAATCAGACTAAATTTAATATTGGTAGATGGAGCTAAAAATGTAGAAGAACATTCCCATAAGATATTCATGTTTTCATGTCTGGATTAACAATAAACACAATAAATTTATTGAGTGACAGAAAAAAGTTGGAAAATGTAAACCTATTGAATTAAAATACTTTTACATGACTTGATGATCTTCTCGAATTCATTTTTTAGAGCATTAAAATCTTTTTTAGATACTGTTTTGTTATTGTAATATTTTTAAAAATGTTCAATAGTTAATATGAATTAGTAATTATTTTATTGTTTAGATAGTTAAAAGTATAAATATATAAAAATATTATCAAGTTGAATTCAACTATTATAATATATTACTTTATTTAATATATGTCATATATGTGTTTTATGGTTTAGACGTTTAAACATAATTAATTGAATTGGATGGTAAGAAATAGAAAACAGTGATGTAGCTTAGATTTGATTTTATGAAGTGATCAATTTTTTAAAGTAATTTGTATGGGTGAAATAATGTATTATTCATTACTTTAACAACAATTTTATTAGTGGTTTAGACCAGGGGTTTAAGTCAGAGAGACGCAGGGGGCTGAATCCCCCTATATCTAATGATGGTTGAAAAGCATCTTCTTAAACAAATTATTCGTAAGGTACACTGAAACGCTCCAATAATTATAACCAAACATTAGACAATATGATCCAGAATTTCGTTGAGATAAAATCATGGTTTTATTTATTTGTTATCAATTGTTACTTTACTTTTATCAAATGTATTTAATATAAATTGTGCATTACCTAATAAATGTGTAAAAATAATTAATTTTATTAGTTATAGTAAATGGCTATACTGTGATTAATAGGTATTCAATTAGTCATAACATAATGATATTATGTAAAATTGAGCTTAGTATATTCATATATAATATATTACGAGTATATAGGTTAAGTGTGAATGAAAACCCTAAGCATTTAATAATAATAAAAACCAACCACTCAAAAATTTCACAAATTTTAATCAAAAAAAAAACTTTAAAATCAATAAATAATTATAAAACAAAAATTAATAAGGTATAATTAATATGTATACATTATTGCATTTAACAACACTAAAGAATAGGTTGTTTTGAAATAAAAATAAATGTGATTGATTATTATTTGAAAACAATACATATTGATATTAATTATTGACAAATGTTTTAAAAAAATTGTAAGAGAAAAAAATCTAAGAACTTATTATAATTTCTTAAAAACGTATACTATAAACTATTATTAAAGTTTAAAAAAAAAAATTGTATAATTTAAAATTATTAAAAAATATATATTTGTATATATTATTGATAGTTAATTGAAAACAATTTATTCTATAACTATAATAACGTTAAAAATGAAAATATATTTAATTGATTATTATTATCATATTAAACCATTATACAACATAAGTAAATTTGACACAAATGAGCAGTCTGAAAAAACATACATTTTATTATTTGGATGCAAATGAATAATTCTCTCATAAATAATAGATATTTTAGTTATAATTCTCTATACATTGCATAATTTTCAAAATATTTTAAAACTTTTTCTGGTATTTATAGACATGAAATATTTCTGATATTTTTTATTTTTAGTTTTTATTCTATAAATTTCAACTAAAAATAATCCACAGGATCATGATTCTCGAAAATTTAATGTAAGATTCCTAATAAGTTGCTTTTTATATCTGTATACAAATTATAAAAATACATGGCTATCATTTTTTATGAATCTGAAATTCAAATCCACAAAATTTACAAGCTACAAGTATAATGAATAAATTTTTCAATGTCTGTAGCTAAGATCAGTGCTTGATTTGGTGGGGGGACGTGGGGGGACGGAGTCCCCCTTCTTTTGTAATTGTTTTTTAGCGTACCCCTTCTATTTGCCCCTACGATAATGTGACGGTTAGTTATGTGTGGAACGCTCGTTTATCAAACATCCGATGAGTCCCCCTTCTATTTTTTTTCTAAATCAAGCACTGGCTAAGATAAGAAAAATTAATACAATGATCCAAATAATTAATTTATATTAGAACTAAAAAATACACACCCACAATTATTTTTTATACATATTTATAATCAGGGCCGTGGTAATGTTTATAGATACATTTTATACAATTTAATATTTTTATAAATGTATATCTAAAAAATTAAAATTCATAGTAATAATAATAATAATAAGAGGAAGAAGAAAATTTTGATTTTATAAATAAGACACGAGCCGCATTTGACAATGACGAGAGCCACATGTGGCTCGCGAGTCGCAAGTTGGCCACCCCAGGTATATATATATAAAAAAAGAACTAAATAGAATACATAGATAAATAAATACACTCCATATGTACATGAGTAGTTTATTGAGCATGAAGTAAAAATAATCATTGATACGAGCTTAAGCGATAACTACGGCATTGTGGTCTGTATTAGATTATACACAAATCATTATAATTTTTAGGATTATTTGTTCGTTTATCGTCACTCAGTAAACATGATAAATGTATAGCGGCACGTAATACAGACAATGAAACAATAATAATTATCAAACTGTAAGATACGTTCAGACTTTCTACTCAATTTACTCGACTTATTACATCAAATAAAAAATCAAAAACACCTAATAAATATAGAATTTCTGCAGTAAAAACAAGTTTTTACAATAATTATCAAATTTATAACTTATAAAGTATTTACATTACTTATTATTAGGGCATAAAAATACTGCCTTATCGTAAAACAGTGTGAACAAATCATAATATTTAAAAAAAATAATTATGTTTACCTACATACTTTTTATGATTTTTTTTTCATTTTCAGTATGAAATATTTCATATATTATTAAATAACATTTTCAAACCTTAGCTATAAAAATTGAAGATTTTATAATTTTTTTTACTTAAAAATTCTTATGGCTTATAAATTTTTAAACTTGATATGTTGATATATAAAAATATTATGTCATTTTAATAACTATATTCAGAAATAAAAACAACTTGTGTAGAGTCTTGTATTAAATGTTCAAGAATTTCGACCTAACAAATAATTTTTATCTACATTTATAGAAAAAGAAATTTAATATTTAAAATGTCTACAAATAGCTAAAAAAAATTCAATATATTTTGAAAATTTTACTTTGTATAGGAAATAATATTATAAAAATTTAATAAAAGTTTGAACCATTTTTTACATAGCAAAATAACACCTAAACAAACAAATTGTTTATGCGGTCCTTTTTACCTGACCGAAAAATAATGAAGTAATATCCTACACTAACCTTTATACATACCTAACTACACAAAATTAGAATGTCTAAAAATGTACGCATATTAGAGGAGACAAATTTAACTCTTATTACAAATGTCTTCTTAACTTATGAAAAGCTTTTAGAAATATTTAATGTTTGACAAATTTTAAATAACATTTAATAAACATAGTCATAATTTTTATGCATAATTTAAAACCATCATATTATTTATTTTATTGCCAATTTTAATTACTTTAAATAACGGTCGATTACAGATAAAAACAAACGAAAAAATGCCATAATAGTATTCTTATAAATTTCTTATAAATAATGACATGCAGATAAAAATAAAATATTATCAACTTATAGATTTGCCAGAAAAATATACTACTGTATTAGGCATAACATATTGCGTTATCATATTATTATTGTCTACTGTCTGTTTTAAGAATAAAATGGCATTAAAGCAAAAATACATAAAACATCGCACAAACGAACAAATCCAGATGTTTTTAAACTTTCTTCTATAAACTTGTTTTGCGTAGCTAAACAGCTTACATACAAGTTTGGTTATTTTCTAAGCTACGGTATTCAAGTGACGTCACAATAAAAAAACTCCGACGGTAATGTTATCTTTGTAGCCGGTCATCTAATCGTACATTAATAACAATAATAACTAATTCACCCACCAATTATAATGATTTTAAAGTAGATACACACAGGGAGTTTTATCGATTCCGCCGTTCTAATATCAATTCCGCTTTATATTAGTGTATATATTGATCCCGCTGGCTATCGATTCCATCCGTTGTTTGTCTAAATTTATTTCGCCGAAAAATTTGTTTAAGTCGGTTATATAAAGTATATTTTTTAATTAACAGTAAAGGTTACAGTAAAAACATTTCACAAAATAATTTATTGTCATTCACAACGAAAAATATAACACAAGTATAAAGTAGCAATGTACCTACATGTAATGAAAAAATATTAACATGTAAATGTAAACATTTTACATTTTGCAATTATTAAAATAAATAATTTACAAGTATTCAGTACATTAATAGCCAGCGAAATCAATAAATAAAATAGTTCGGCGGAGTTTATATGCGGCGCAATCGATAAATTTTTTACAGGTAAAAAGGTCATTACGGCATAATCGATATACACCCACACGCAGGGCTGGCTTTATTTCTATCAGCGCTCAGTGCAACTAGTGCAAGAATTATTTCGGCATCCCTCCCTCTTATTTAATTTTAATTTTGACAAATCTCACGCGTCCTTATTTTGGTGCCCTATGCCATCACACACATCGATCGTATCTAAAGCTAGCCCTAGAAAACTGCGCAATAGACAACTACTGACATACGCAAGTAAATATGACGAGATAGTCATATAATAAGATAAAACAATTAAAAAGATATATCAATACTAAATGCAAATACAATATTTTGTAATCGAAATAGACGCAAACTAAACATTTTATCACGATAACTCACACTTCTGCATCATAATAAAATTCTATAGCAAAAATTAGCTGATATCCATTGTTTTATTAGTGATTAGGGAGTTTTATAGGAAACAAAAACCCGCTCGATTGGCAAACAACGTTCACTAATTGAAACAACCGTCATTTTGACGGTGGCACACATTAAAGATAAGCGCGACTAGGTAGGTACTAATATGCTACCGGATTGAGTAATCGTGTACAACACCATCTAATCGTTTATTATCTTAACAAGACACCACACCCGCAAGTGTTATCTCCATTTTGCATATTCCATATATACAATATGGCAAATTTTCGTTCAACAAAACCCATTTTATGTTGTTCGCTTTAATATTAGAGTAAATTTACTTATTATTAAACTTAAAGGTAAGAATTTTATCTAGGCCATCACATACATTTTTATTAATATTTTAATTTTAAACTGAGTTATAGCCAAAATAAAATATTAAAACTTTAAAATGCTCATAACTCACTTTAAAATTATAATATCAATAGAAGCCTATGTGATGGCCTAGATAAAATTCTTACCTTTAAGTTTGATAATAAGTAAATTTACTCTAATATTAAAGCGAACAACACAAAATTAATTCTGCTGAACAAAAATTTGCTATGTTGTATGTATGTAAGACGGAGATAACATATTATGCGGGTGTGGTGTTCTCTTAATCTCTATGATTATTTTACAAATGTACAGTGATTGAAATAATAACGTTAATGATAAACACATACAAATACTAACCTTTGAAACAAATACTGCTAGAACGGCTATGTCAAATGCTGTAATGAACGGTGTTGCGGTATCGATTGAAAGTCGTTGGTAAAATGCGAAGATAAGACAGATTGAACGGTAAATTATACTGGACTACGAAGAGGTAACACGGCCGGACGCCAGTCTCAACAAAAAAGTGAACGAAAACGTGTCACGGGCGACGCAATGATTTCGATCTACGCGCAGGAAATTAGATGGGCTGAGTAGTGGTGGAAGGACGGTGTCGCGGTCTCGGTGTGCTGGATCGTGATTGGACGACATCCGATATCAGTGACTTGCGGCAGTGTTTTATCGATCACAGCGCAAGAACAATAAACAAAAACAAACAATAAAAAAACAAATTACTTGCCCTCTCCAATCGAGCCATACCGATTATTCTGTACTACCTACAAGACACATATAAGTATTAAGTATACGTTACAGTCGATAGATTGTAATATAGTTAAAACACTGACGATTTTTATCTGATGAGCGCTATCACTTCTGAAAACAGATTTTAAGTCGTTATTAATTTTATTCTAGAGTCATTTCCCATTTTTTCCATTTATTATTTTTAATTTCAGAAATATAAGAAATTTATTTATGATGATCTTAAAAACAAACTTTAAAACTAGGAAAACTTTTTTTAAGGAAGTATCTAACTTAACTCTACAAAAAATTATTATTTGCTTCCGTAAATATTATTGTCTTATAATTTGACCGATTCGAAGGTAGTTTTTGGTAGCAAGGCTAGTAAGGTACCGCCTCAATTATAATTTTCAATATTTGCTATTACTTTAATAATGGTACTATTTTGAATTTTATTCGTATACTTAATTTAAATTATTTTACATATTGTAAATAGCTACATAAGACATAAAATGCTTTGGGTAACAAAAATTTGAAAATTTTATTTTTTTATTTTGCTCTGAACTTGTATGAAACTCGAGAATAGCTGTGTGTTGCTGTAATGAATGTAATGTATTAAACCATTGAGGTTTATACTCCACCCGGCGTTTAAATTGATACATGCAAGATGTGTCTATGCACAAAGACGTAAATACGTAAGCATTCAGACTAGTGTGAAAAGATCTCAGATCACGCACAAAATGCCGCCCGAGACGGTCACAAATTACCGGTTGGCTGCCCTGTAGGGCGGTGAATAGTAATCAGCTGCTATTCTCGCTTGATGCGGGACCGCGCTCATTAAGAACGTTGCGATACTACCGATACTAGTAAAGTATCGATACTTTTCTTTCGATACCAGTACCTACTTTTAAAACCGTCTTTTCAAAATACCATTGTTTCGATACTTTACTTGTATCGATAAAAAAGTACTGGTATCGAATCGTTTCTTTACCGCCATATCAATCAAATGATATCGGACATCGGTTCAAAACTCATCAAAAGTATTAGTATCTATTATTTTCGTATGAATGGTATCAACATTTTTTTTCAATATTGAATATAACACTATTTAGTATTTACGTGTAAAGGGGATTTGCTTACCTAAATCGACTAGTTATTTCCATTTTTAAAAATCCCATTTCTTAGGATTAAGATTACTGAAAACTGGAGCCAAAAAAAAAAATTCAAACAAGCCTAAGTAGATCAGTTTTCACTAAGTTTGATTATATTTATTAACAATTAATTTTTAAAGGTATTTATTGTCAGTATTTACTTACACTAAAATATATTTATTTATTATTATCCCATGTTGATATCATATACTTCCATATTTTCCAACTGCAACCTATTATAGATCAGAATCTGTCAATATTATATAGATAGAATCCGTTTAATAACCGTCAATTGTTAATATTTTATTTTGTTTGTATTTTTTATAGTAATTGAACAACTTTGCAATAGAATTTATAAATAAATCATCACTTACACTCTAATTCTATGCAACCAGAAATTGTCCTATTATTGTTGCTGACTTTTAGTGTTTGTAAATTCTCTACTTGTATAATTGTTTTAGCCATTACTAGAGCAATAATTATTTGTAATGTTCCATCAACAAATTAACTCTTTATTTAACTAGCTAATAAATATTTTTATGAATAATACACATTGATCATAAAAAATTTTTTAAGTTTATTTTAAGTTATAATGCTGAGTATTTTAGAAACTGAAAAATAAATTTTTCATTAAAAGCCCAAGTAGTTGTTTCTCTTAAATTAAAAATAATTAATATTGTAGCTAGCTAGAATATTTCCATAACTAAATCATTTATTGAATTTAAAATTTTTATAATCAATTTCCTAATAGTGAGTGGATTAATAGCATAATTATATTAGGTAACAAATAGAAAATATCAGTCATATTGTTTACTAATCGTATAAATCTTTATATATATTTAATATTGAAAAGCAATACAACAAATCAATAATATACTCGTTTGGATAATTTTAAGTTCAACTTTTACTAATCAGTATGTAATAAATTAAGTATTAATATAAATAAAATAAATTAATAAACAATAATGTATAATTATCATGATTTAGCTTTTCGCCTCCCCCTTTTCCCTAAACATAAAATATCTAGTAATAAAAATTAGAAATTAGTTTATACATTATTAATAGAATATACATTTTTTTATATAATAACCATTTTATATTAAAATTATTAATGTTTAATACATTTAGATAAAAGTTATAAAAATAAAATTATAGTTTTTAATAATTTACTTTTTGGTGTGACTTATTAATTATTATTTGTAGTAGACATTTGTAGGAAATAGTTAGATATAAGAAAACATAATTTCTTTTTAAATTGAATTTATTTTCTAGGTTGTTTTAAACTATAAAATATTAATGCTTGCTTTTCTACCATATATTTTAATTTATTTTCATGTTTTAATATTGGCTGTGGCATTTATTGTGTAACTAATTATTTCTGTATTAATATTAATTCCAACTAGCTTTTTGTAAAGTCTACAAATTATTCTTCAGCTGAAGTTAAGAGATGTTTCTTATTGTTATCTATAAATATTTAAGAAAGCATTGTAGTACATATTGAGTTTTAAAATATAGCAGAATATGAATATATTATTAAAATAATATAAATTCTCATTTTGTTTTTGATGACTATTACTAAACACAGTTTTTTGAGTTAATCTCATTCTTTAAATTTTAATAAAAATGAAATCTTTTGCATAAATTTGAAGGTATTATAAATACAAGTATAATATATAAATATATATTTGTTATGCATTTAATTGATTTCCTCGTTGTTTCTAGATTATCATTTGCTAAAAAAGAATTGCTTTTCAGCACTGACTAAAACATCACTACAATATCTCTAACAGCATAATAAATATGCTTACTAGCCAAATGGTTCTCAATATGTGTAGATACTGTCGATACCGACTTAAATTATTGCTGGACAAGCTATGTATATTTTAAAGTAGGTACTTACTATCTGAAAATATTAGAATGTCCATTGTCCATAGTAACTATAACATGAAAATTATTGAATACGAATTGGAGTTGTCCAATAGGGAAAAAATAGATAGGTGAAATTATTCCATCGAATGTCAATGACAATTATTATAATAAAAATAAAAATAATTCTGATTATAATATTACAGCATTGGTTATAAATATTTATATTTTTATAATCATTAATCAATGACTATAAATTTATAACTATTAGCTTGTCGCAGTGTTATTGCGACAACTGCGATCTCTATCTCTATTCTCTACTTCTCTACCGTTTACGTTCGTGAGAGTGACCGCTGATCGGCGGGCGGCGATCAGTCCGGCCGCTAGCGGTCACTAAATCTTTCAAAGTGAGCTTTAGTATAACAGACGAGATTGTTAAAGTTATGTACATTTATAAAATCAATCAATAACGCTTTACCAGACGTTCATTAATTTCCATATCACCAGACATCTATAAATAATAATAATATTTCGTTTTCACAGCTAATATGTATTATCAATACCTATTAGTTCAGACTGTTCAGTGTTCAGTCTTTTCCTGAAAGCGTCTGTTAACTCTGTTATCATCACTGATAAGTGATAACTGTCATCGTACAAATGCACGATAGTCGTAAAAGAAAATTCAGTTTTTGAAATAGTGGGAGGAAATCACGGCCTACGTCGTAACTCGTAATGGCAGACAGTACCTACATTATAGCAATGAAACATTTAAATGAACAACGTAAACACGTATTAGGAAAACAAACGAAACGGCATTATTTTTTGGTGATATTAAAGCCAAAATACCGATTTTTAAATTTATAAAGAACAATCAAGGCCGACGAAAACTATGGGTGACTGTCCTAGAGCAGGGCGCCAAACTAAAAATTATTTATAAATCTGCAATTGTCTCACATAATAATGATGTACCTATCATAATTCGTAAGAATATAACAATTCTGCATCGATACTGTTAGTTTTGATGTAAAAATAATGCACGGAAGCATACCACTGAATTAGTGTGTGTAAATAAAATATATAGACAATCGTAATAATTAATTATAGATAATTATTTTCATAATATTTACCCATTTATAAATCAATTCATATAACTATATTTTTATCATCGCGCTCTTCGTTACAACAAACTATTGCGCTTAATATGAATATACATAAAAAAATAATTTACGTTATATTCTCGTGATGGCAAATCATCCAATAAATAACAGATTGAATAGGTACTGACTACCGAGTTCAGTTTTATTCTTAGCAAATTCTTTTAAATTTCCTATTGCTATTTTAGCTTCGATTTTGGCAATACCCGGCAAATAAACATGTAATATTTTGGATAAATTACTTAAAATTAAATATTCATCTGAATGTAATTCTGGCTTTACAATTTTTTTTTTCAAATTTTCAACAAATTTCTATACAGTTTTTTCATTATTTTTGACTTTCAATACCTACTACATAGATAGCCATCACGCACTAGTATATTTCTTCCTCTTTAATTTTTTATAAAATTTAGAGGCATATTAATAATTTTTTTTTTTTTGTATTTTATATTAACTATACAAATAGCATTAGACTACACCATCAATTACAGTCATCTGAAATGCATGCATACTGTATAGACTATTGAAAAACATATTTGGATCCTAGACAAATGACACCCGATAATATTTATTTAATCTATTACCTATACTTACTACAAAATATTATTGAATTTGTGTAATAATGCTAGTTTGTTGTACATTTGTACAT